ACGAACCGCGCGAGAGTCAACGCGCACCGTGTCATTCGAGCCGTTAGAGATATTCACGAGCGCCTTGTGCATTCGTTACCGCGACGGTATCTTTATTGTTATTTTAGTTACATTGTTTGTTCTCGTTATCGAAATGTCAAGTTTATCGTTGCCTACCGTACGAGCGAATTACAGTTCATTCGGCGAGCAAACAGTTCACGCACGTTTATCCTCGAGACGAGTGCGTTCAATACTTTCGCTGCACGTCTCACGGCACAGGGAACTTCCTCGCGTCGTGCCGTTTCAAACAACCGCGCGGTCCATATGCTCGCGCGGCTTTAAAACGTCGATTCCAATCTCTTGCACAGCAATTGCATAATTTATTGCCTGCTTGTTCGTATGTATGACTGGTAATATAAAATGAAGAAGTAAGGCTTGAATATATAATTTCCGTTGTTAAATGCTTTTTTCCGCTTTTCGTATGGAAACCGACCACTGCACGTTGATTCGTCCACCCGGGTCTCGATGGTCTCCGAAGAAACGTCGGGCGTCGTTCAACTTCTTTCAAGCTCTCCGAGCTCTTCGATTGTGATCGAGACGCGCCAATGTTGCATCGTCGATCGGGAAACGTGGGAGGCCTGGTCGCGGACTGCAATTTACGGTGGACACGTGTTTCGTGCGATCGGACGCGACAGATAGCATCAACAATCTTCGCGGACACAATGGGACTCGCCGAGTGACATAATCGACTCGCCGACGACGTGACTCGGTGGGGGGGAGTATGTTTTTCTCCTGGACGGCAGAGACGAAATCTCTGTGGCGCGCGCGGCTTGTTCATTCGATGGAATCCCCATTTTCATTCGTTCCGTGTCATCGCTATTTTCGGATATAAAGTGTAGACTCCCTTATAGTGCGTTACGCGTTCTATGAAACCGCGTTATAGGAAATCGTGCGACACGGACACTTCTTTTTCTTCTCTAATATAACACGAATAATATTTATTTATTTAATGGAGAAAAAATACAGGAATTTCGAACGACCTGATGCAGATTTTAAATAAAAAAATAAAATAATAAGATGACCACAATTCCTTAAAATTAATATGAAAAATATCTTGTATTTTAGCTATAAAATCACAAAAAAATACAGGAATTTAGAATGACTTGATACAAATTTGAAATAAAAATAAAAAATAATAAGACGACCGCAATTCCTTAAATTACTATGACAAATATTTACAGACTCTTAACTATAAAATCACAAAAATAAAACAAAATACTAGAATTTCTAGGAAGAATTTACTGCACTCTTCCAAATGCAAACACACCTTGTTTCGAAGTGATCGAAATTTGATCAGACCAGTCCGCCGTAATTAGAAGATGTGCGAGGATGCCGTCGCGTATCGATCAATCGGTTATCCGTTTCCATGGGCGCGCTGGATTCTATTTTCCTACCTAAATCGACTGCCGACAGTCACGATACTCTGACGAGCGCATCATCGCGATCGTTGCCGAGTTCCTGGAAATAATGCTGTTGTTGCTCGGTGATAAATCGGATAAATTTCGTGAAATTGATGTAAAAATTCCGCGCGTCATTATTTTACGTTACGGCGTACACACACGCGTCGCTCGCTATCCCAATGATTGTCCTAATCGACCGTTGTGTTCGCGACGAATAATTGTTTTGCAGAAATTGCATTCCTCTTTTTCCGTCCGACTTTAACGTTAAGTGTTCTGGCCTCGACTGTTTTACTATTGTTTCGTCGCTCGCTTTGTATATGTATAATATATATATATATATATATAATATAAAATATGAATATATAATACATATTACAATGATATAAATATAATTAATAAAATAATATACAAAATAAAAATATAAAATAACATAACCTTTTTTATCATTCCAATGTTTGTAATCTAAACGAGATACCACAATCCTATGTTTAACGATATTTCGTATTTTCTTATCATCGTATTAGTAATGAAAATGTTGCTTGACTCGTCTCAATTTCCATAAAATAATCTAATCGAACCATTAGCATACGCTTCTAATCTGCTCGCGAATGCGGACACGGAAGGGCACGTTCGAAGGACATTGTCAACGAAGGAGAGTCAACGTTCGCGATTGTGTCTTCATTTAAGTAGACGTTTAATTCTTAAATCGTACATTTAAATCGTTATTTATTGTTCACAAGATTCTTATTATGTAAACATTTAATTCTTAAATTGTACATTTAAATCATTATTCATTGTTCACAAAATTTTTATTATGTAAACATCTAATTCTTGAGTTCTTGATTGATTTTATTGCTCGAAAATTCTCAATTTAAATCATTATTTATTGTGTTCCAAAATTCTTGACTTAAATCGAATTCCAAAATTCTTGATTTAAATCGAATTCCAAAATTCTCTTGATTTAAGTCATTATTCATTGTTCCAAAATTCTCGATTTAAATCATTAATCATTGTTCCAAAATTCTCGATTCAAATCATTAATCATTGTTCCAAAATTCTCGATTTAGATCATTAATCATTGTCCCAAAATTCTCGATTTAGATCATTAATCATTGCCCCAAAATTCTCGATTTAGATCATTAATCATCGTGTTCCAAAGTACTAGATTTAAATCGAATTCATTGTTCCAAGATTCTTGATCCAAGACGAATTTGCATTGTTCGATGGTTCTCGATTGAAATCGAATTGATTAGGCTCCGCGCGCGTGGTCAGTCCTCTACAAGGCATTGTTGCAGGAACTTTCGATCGCCGACGCCGCGATCGACGGAATACTGTCGCCCTTGTAGATCAGGGTCGGTCCGCGCGAATAAGTAGCGCGTACATTTCGTAATAGCAGTCCTTTTAAGTACGTAACAAATACTACCGGATTTGCACCATTGACTAGCGCTCCACTAAATTAAACAATCCTTATCGCGTTTAACATTAGGAGACTACAGATATATTTGTGCGTTTATTCGAGATTATGAATCATCGCTAGACGACGAATTTTATGCATTTATAGCAAAATTGCATTTGTTATAATTCCAAGCCTTTTGCCCTACAACCACGTTTGGGAGACGTGGTAAAAAAATCGAGCTAAAAATGATTATCTCGTCTGAGAGACGTGGTCAAAAAATCTGGCCAGAAATGACTATCACGTCTGAGAGACGTGGTCAAAAAATCTAGCTATAAATGACTATCACGTCTGAGAGACGTGGTCAAAAGATCGGGCCAGAAATGACTATCACGTCTGAGGGACGTGGTCAAAAAATCTGGCCAGAAATGACTATCACGTCCGAGAGACGTGGTAAGAATATCAGGCCATTTTCCCGATTTCGACTAACCTCTTGGACACCCTGTATGTCATTTTTACTATAAATGCATAAAATCCGCAGTCGAATAATGCCACTAGAAAACACACCGCTCGCACACTTCACTTCCCCTTGTCCTTCCTCTTGGTCTCGACCTTCGCGAACACGCCATTGCACGACCTGACCACCGATCCAGGATCGACGAACCACCTGCCGACGATGTCCTGCTCGCAGTGCACCACGGTAACGATCTTCACAATCTTCTCCTTTCGCTTCCTGCCCGCGGACCTCGCCTCCTTCTTCGCGTTCGCGGCATTGTCCTCCTCCTCCACCCCCCCGGACCGGTCGGTTCCTTTCTTCCCCTTCGAGTCGTTCTCCTCCTTTTTCGACGTCTTCTCCGTCCGCTTGGCCCGCGTCTTTTTGTCGCCGTCGACGGACACCTTGCCACCGTCGCCGACGTACTTCACCTTGTTCCGCGAGCACATCGGGCCCAAGGTCACCCGACCACCGTCGCCCATGTACTGGACGTCGCCGACGTTCGAGTCGATCCTCAGCCGACATCCGTCGCCGATCACGCGAACCGTTCCCGAGTTCCCCGACAACACGATGCTGCAGCCGTCGCCGACGATCTCCAGGGTCCGTTCGTTCGACGGTAGCTTCAAGCAGAGACCGTCACCGCAGATCCTCTCGACGTCGACCGCTTCCGCGCGCATTTTCGTTAGTTTTATTTTATTTTATATTACTTCGCGGTAGCAGTGATCGTTCGAATTTCTAGCTATTTTTGTAATATGGTTTATAATAATATGTTTTAAATAATATTATTTAGCTTCATGTATGCTCAGTGAAACGCAATTGTTGAGCAAATTCCTCGGAAATAGTAGCAACGATAATATTTGTCCGTTCAGATTTCTAGCGATTTTTATAATAATATTGTTTATAATAACATATGCCAAATGGAACACAATCGTTGAACAAATTCCTCGTAAACAATAGCAACGATAATATGTTCGTTCAGAATTCTAGCTATTTTTAAAATAATACGTTTTATAATAATATTATTTATAATATTGTTTATAATAACGTATGCCAAATGGAACACAATCGTTGAACAAATTCCTCGTAAACAATAGCAACGATAATATGTTCGTTCAGAATTCTAGCTATTTTTAAAATAATACGTTTTATAATAATATTATTTATCATGTATACAAATAATACGTTTTATAATAATATTATTTATAAACGTGTTTGTACAGTTTCAGTAATCGTAGAATCGTACGTACGTAATAAACATTGGCATTTCACCGAGTGTTAACGCTATCGCGTGTCTTTCGGCCCCCGTAACCCTAGAATCGTCCTGGTAACGCGAAACCGGCTGGAATCGGCTTATGCAACGCGCACGGAGATCGATTTCGCGGACTGGCAGTCGTTCCTCCGGCCTCGGCGCTCGATTACCGGACCGTTTATCCGCGAGGAAGATCGATTGTGTTTTGCACCTGCAGACTCTCGCGCGCGACTTCTTGCTGCACTGCGCGAGCGGCGGCGGCTTGTTTTCGTTTTTCTTGGCTCTCGATCACCGGTGTACCGTTGCTCGCCCTTTCCTTTCCTTTCCTTCGCTTCGCTTTGCTTTGGTGCGCCGCCCACGCGATGCCCACTTCCGGTAGGCGATGCCCACTTCCAAAATGGCTGCCGCACCAGAGAGGCACGGAGAAGGCTGGAAAAATTAGAGAGACAACGTTTTTAGACTGGAGAGAAAGGGAGGCGCGATAAGTTTCTATTATTTTCTTGAATCGATCCCGTTACGCGTTCGCTGCTAATATCACGCATTCGCGGTGACCGTTGTTCCGTGTTCCGTGCCTGAGACAATGACGATACTGTTCTTTATTTTATTCTGTTCTTTATTAATGACAGGTTATTTATTTTATAATCGTACAAAAGTGCGTCGATTATTTCGTGGGAAATGCTCGAATGAATTCCGTCGTTGCGGAGAGTTTTATCATGAAAACTACGTAAAACTATTGAAATCGTGTACAGTTCAATGAAAACTGCGATTACTTGCAGTCTTTAATTTGTTGCATAACAACGTCAACCGATTTCGATACAATTTTCAGCGTGAGTCACCGAGATCTGCGAAACGTATTTTTTAAATATTCGTTACGGGTTCAGATAAAAAGAGTTGACCGTACTTTCTATATTCAATAATATAGAATACAGAAAATAAAATAAAAAGAATAAATTCTATATTTAATAAATATATTTAATTTTTATACTGTTAATTTTGTAAAGAGAACTGTTATAATTCGGTGTCTATTGTTATTGCTATTATACTGTTAATTTTATAGAGAAAAAAAGGTGCATGACACGAGCTTTTTATTTTTTTTATTATTTTTTCTCGTGGACTAATCTAGCTATCGTCTAAAAAAAATTCAAGTCACTCGGTCCATTTTTAAAAAAGTTTTTGCGTTTTGAAAGGTGCGCGAGAACATTTTTGCAGGGCACTGTACATACGAGCGTCGCGGCAGTGAACGCGATAAGCAAGCGTTGGCTTATTGGAAGATCTCCGCGCTTTTTATCGGACTATTAATAAATAACAACGAAGTTATTGACCAAGCACGAAAACAATTCGACGTTCTCGGAATCGACTGTCAGAAGAAAGATTAGGCAAGTGTATCGGATGTGCCAATGCTCGATCTCGAGGTTATGTCAAACCATAACATCTAATACATAACCATAACAGAGATACGAGACACGAGGAGAGTTTTCTTTTCGGGCTTGAAAAAACAGTCGTTGCTACGAATTCATTCTCCAAAGACATTTTTGATACAAATAATGTTGACATAACCTAATTTTACAATGACTGATTCTAAGACCGTTCTCTCGTGTTCGATTGACATTGACCCTAATTTTCAAACCGATCTATCTACATTCTAATTGAAATCAGCTAATAGTTACAGAACTATAAATTTATGTAAATTAAACAAAATTTGCCTAGACCTTCGCTTTATTCTATTTTTGGAAATATAGTAATATAAATATATATTATTATATAAATAAATAATATAATAAATATATATAATATCAAATAATATAATAAACAATATAATATTATATATAATATATATTATTATATATAATAGTTATATAACATTATACATAACATTATATAAATAAATACAAAAATAAAATAAAAATAAATAATAGTAAAATAAGGTAATAAAATAAAAATTAGAATATAATTATATAAATATAATTCATATGAAAAGCGAGCAGCTCGAATGCAAAGTAACAAAAAACATGTAAACAATTCTAAAATATTGAAAATCAGAAATATCCACGTAGTTCCTGCGTTCTCCAATTAACAAATACAACTTGTTATTATTACATAAAGATGATCCGCAGTCACTGAATCTCCGAGAACAGCGATAGAGATTCATCGATCGATCGCGAATCGCGATTTACTACCATGAAATTCGAAGCTTCGCGAGAAGAACGTTGACGCGTCTCCTCGATGTTGTAATCGTTCCGAAAACTGACTCACCCAAACAGCCGGCGCGATCTTCTCGGCGACCTTCGCCCCCTCCCCCACCGGTGTTTATCCGGACACACAAACGCGTTCTTCACCGGGCGGTCGGCTGCTGCGCGTACTTCGGCGCTCCGCGATCGATCCGAAAGGCACTTTCGGCCTTTCAGCCTGCACGGCGTCGTGATCTATCCTCTCGATCTCCTCTTCGTCGCCTCAGCAAAACAGTGCTTTTGTTCTCGCGTCGAGGACCACCCCCCGATCGCTTTTCTTTTCTCCAGTTAACCTCGCGACACTCTTCGCTCGTGTTTCCGCGAGACAATTAATTCCCCGTCGTTGACTTTTCCGCGCAGTTCCACGCAATTCTCCTTAAACAATTTCCACGGTTTATCCCTTCGAGGACGTGTCGCGACTTTTTCTTTTCCACCGCAGCGTTTCCCGTTTCAGCGTTTTTCCTCGCCGAGCGTCGTCGTCCTCTTTCCGTCGTCGTTTCGCGCCATTTCACGTTCGCGCCGCGTTCGATTCCCTCTTCGAAAAGCCGCCACTTATCCACGCCGCTCGAAAAATACGTCGTAATCCGCCCGGAGCCGCGACGCGGATGTGGCAGATTTCTCGGCGGCCTCTTCGCCTCTATCGCCGCGTCGCCCGACGGAGTCGCGTTTCGTCTGACGCGTGCGACTCTCGGGGAGGTTACTCTTGTCCGGCACGATGCAACGATAATTTCGTGGTTCGAACGCGGACTGGGCTGAGGAAGCCCCGGAGCTCGGGAGAGGGGAGGGGGGTGGTTCAAGACTATGACTGGTCCTTACCGCGAAGCTACGCGCCACGTATCGTAGGACCACAACTTCCTGCTTCCCGAGTGGACTCGTCCGATTCCGATTCCCCGGTTTCTTCCGACCGCGTCGGCTGCTTCAAAATGGCGCCCGCTCGTTCCACGGGTCGGTTAAAGGATTTTCGACAGCCACCTTTTTGATTACAGTTTTCATTTCACTCTAGCTCTCGCGATTCACAAGTTTTTCCACTGGATTCCGGCGAACCACGGGTGAACGGAATGTTTATAAATATTAAATAACCTTCAAGAAGAAAATCCAAGACACTGTGTAAGGTCGCCGCGGATTTCGCACGGTACACTACTCGAACCACTGTTGCCACTTTTTAGATTTTTTAATAGTGTCTTCAATTAGGTGAGACGGTTAGATGCGAAGAGGATCCGATGCCAATTCTTCGTCTTCGAGAAGATACAGTGTTTTTTTTACCGCAAATCTACCGAACACCTGAATTATTCTGAACACGTTGCACCTCGATTCATCGACTCGACGGGATCCGGCAACGCTGCGCTCCGCTGACGGTTCGACTCAGCAATGATAAAATCCAAGTTATGGCACAATTTAGGAACGATACGAATCAGCAATGGTTTGGTTCATAGTTGATGGTTCAATTCAGCAATTTATTATCCATATTATTATTATCCAGCGATGTGTGTGGTGTACGATTCAGTGGTGGCGCAATTCAAGAATAGTTCGATTCAGCAATGTTGCAATTCAGCGATGGTGCAATTCGAGAATAGTGTAATCCAGCAACGTTGTTGCAATCCAGTGATGGTGCAATTCAAGAATTGTATAATTTAGCAACGTTGTTGCAATCCAGTGATGGTGTAATTCAAGAATAGCACAATTCAGCAATGTTTCACAGTTCACTGACAGTGCAATTCAAGAACAGTCCAACTCAGCAATATTGAAATCCAGTGGTGATTCAATCCAGCGACGGTACAATTCAAAAATAATACAATTCAGCAATGTTTTACAGTCCAATGACGGTGCAATTCAGCAATGGCGCGATCCAGTAAATGCACGATTCAGGAATAGTACGATCTAGCAACGGTACTCTATCCACCGAAGATACAATTCAGCAACGTTGAAGATCCACTGAAGATACAATTACAACTGCTGCTAGAGAGGATTCGCTAAACTGAGAGGATTTCTACTGTCCCCGCTGCTCCTCGGTCTCCGGACAGTCCGCACGAACAATGTCGCCAGGTGTTTCGGTGCGAAATTTTCGCGGTCGCAGATGCCCCGCAAATGGGTCTTCGAGGTCCCGGTATATGTTGGTCCCGTGAGTGTCCCGACGGCACAGCACCGGTTCCGACGCCGCGGCGCTGTAATAATGTCAGTTGGGCTGGGGGCTCGCGACCATGGCGGCCAATCGGCCGTCTCACCGGCCGCGGGACTTCCCGGATAGAAACATATTGGCCACGTGCCGCCGAGCACTTTGGCAGTCTTCGCTTGTCCTCGGCCGCCACTTCGGCCCGATTATCGGCCGCTCTCTATCCGAAGGTCAATCGTGTTTTCGTAAAGCGCCTTTCGAGCCTTGTTCCGCGGTACTTCCCCGCGAAATTTGTCGGATCCGGATGTTATCTCTGACTTTTCGGTTTTTTGATTTATTTATGCTAATTACTGTTCGCGATTTTGGGTCGAGGACATTTAGTAGATTGAATTGCTGGTATTTAATAGTTGAAAGTTAGTTGAAGGTGAATTGTTGAATTGTTGAATAATTGAATAGTTGAATTGTTGAATTATTGAATTGTTGAATTCTTGACTTCTTGAACTCTTGAATTCTTGAATTGTTGAATTATTGAATAGTTGAATTCTTAACTTCTTGAACTCTTGAATTCTTAAATTGTTGAACTCTTGAACTCTTGAATTCTTGAACTCTTGAATTCTTGAACTCTTGGACTCTTGAACTCTTGAATTCTTGAAATGTTGAATAGTTGAATTCTTGAAATTTTGAATTGTTGAATAGTCGAATTGTTAAGTAGTTGAATAGTTGAATTGTCGAATAGTTGAATTCTTGAATTGTCGAATTGTTGAATAGTTGAACTCTTGAATTCTTGAATTTTTGAATATTCGAATTGTTGAATTATTGAATAGTTGAATAGTTGAATTGTTCTCAGTTAAGAACAACAGAAAAGGTGTCTCCTCATTATACTAGAAGGTCTTCGATTTCATCTTCTTTGTTTTGAACGCGACGGCCACATCGTGCCGCCTAATGCACTAACTTGCTTGCAAGTACAATAAATTCTCTCCAATTGTCCTTCAGCTTGTAAACAAAAATAGATAATTTGAGAAGAGGTCATACTATTATACAAACTTCGTGGCTTGATTTTACAGCCGTTAATTGTTGAATTTCCAGAAATAGGTTGAATAGAAAAATCAATCTATATAGCAAACAATTTTTTATTTACCAGCTGATATGATTTAATCGTGAAGGAATGCGATAATGTATTTTATCTGTTCTAATCGTTATTGTTTTTGCCGAATGGGATCGTGCCAGTTAACGCAGACATCTCATAAAGGGAAAACATATTTTACACCTTCTTCAATTAAATAAAAGTTTTAATTGAAAGTTCGCATGTAGTAAAAAATATTAAAGTTATTCTCATAACTAAATATATAATTCAATAAATAAATATAATTAAAATATAATTCAATACCGATTTATCTCTAGATAAATATAGAGATATATTTTTATTAAATTTAAATATTTGTATATAAACTATATGTATATAAACTGTTAATTCTTATTTGGTATAAGTAACCTCTTAAATTGTGGATGACGCCACAATGGTCGATTTCCATACAAAAAGCGGAAAAAGGTCAGTTTTAAAAAATATCCTCGTAATGCATAATTTATTTACCAGTTGTCGAATTAAAGATATGGCTTATTATTTACTTTACGATTTTGTTTATATCATTTGTTCATTTTGGACATAGCTACACGGCTTCAGAGCAGTCCATCCCCAAATCATCCTAAATTTATATCATTATAATTATTTATATATTATAATCATTCACATTTATTTTATATATTTATAATCATTCATAATTATTTTGTTCTTCGAAAACAAATAATTTTTACAAAATTTAATGTACTTAGTATTGTGTGTATAGTAATGTACTTAAATTATGTCACAGAACACTGTTTTATCTCTCACATTTTTCGCGGTATGTCCAATCGAATACGATGAATTTTCATTTTGTTTTCTAATTATGTATATTTTATTATATATTATTTAAATTATAATTCAATTATTATTATTTACTACGATCTTTTTTTTACCATTTGTTCATTTTCGACACGGCTGCAGGTCTTCGAAGTAGCCCGTCTCCAAATCATCCTAAATTTATGTCATCGCTTACATAATTATTTAACTGTAATTATAAATACTAACTTATAATTTTTTAACTATTAGTTTTGGAACAATGATCGCAACGTGAAAATGGAAAGAATATTCAATTCAATTGGAAAACAAAAATTGTATTTTTAAAAAATTCGTTTGTAAACAATTAAAAACCACTGCATTTCGTTTTCGTTATTCTATCCCACCAAAAACCCAAATATATGTGCCAGCGATATAAAATAAAAAAGTACGGCTCGAATTATATAATTTCAATTGTCGCACGTATTTTTCCGCTTTTTGTACGGAAACCTACCAGTGGGAACTTTCAACGTCACGAATCGACGAGCTATTATCATCGAGAGCGCAGGGGTCCGATATCGACTTTCCCGTCGTTTTATCGGCAAGAATGAATCGCGCCGGCGATACCGTGTGATTAATCGGCCGCGGGAAGGGGGGAAGACTTACGCCTTACGCGTTGACAGCGTTCGAAGGCGCGCGATGCGAGCAATAGCACGCTCGAATCGCGTCGTACGCGATCCGTCGGCAGCGAGAAAGGGGAACACCGGTCGGTGACGCGACGTTTCTCGTCGATTACTACTGAAATACGTAATTGCGCGGAAGGAGGGGGTCTCCGAGAGGGACGGCTGAGCGGCGGGGCTGGGGGTGGGGAGAGGCAGGCGGCGTGAATCGCGCGACAGATTAAGATGGAATGATTGCGGACGGAAGAGCGGTGGCGCGCTTAAACGGCCACGAAACGGTCGCGTATCCTATCTATTCTTATTCTTCTTATTCTTCTCGAAAGGCTCGTTTCACGCTCGCGTTTTCAAGCTTCCTCGAGTCTGCTCCCCGTCCCGATTCGATCACCTGCTCCCCTCGAGTTCTTATTTGACAGGTTCTCACTGAATTTAATAATTTCTGCACTCTCTTGTGCGCTCATTCTACAGGGTGTCGCATAATCGTGTTATCAGCCGGAAACGGGTGATTCCTGAGGTTATTTGACGTAACTTTTTCCTTAGCGAAAATGCAGGCTTTGTTGAAATATGAACAAATTTTGTAATGTTGAAATTGTTTCTAGACTGTGGGGTTGCTGAAGTCATTTGAAATAACTTTCTCCTTTACAAAAATTTTCTACGAGGCTTCGTTTAGGAGTTATTAACGAAAGACGACGCGCCAATGAGAGGCGAGCGCTCGGCCGCCGCGCGCCAGCGCCGAGCTCGCCGCTCATTGGCGCACTGTTTTTCGCGAATAACTCGCAAACGAAGCCGTGGATTGCATTTCCGCTGAGGAAAAAGTTGCTTCAAATAACCTTAGGATTAACCGCGGTCTGCTTGTTTCACGGAGAATCGCGTTGTGCATGCAGAATTAATTTTACCTCGAACATAATTACATGGAATTAGCGTCGAACGAGCGCGAGTGTCGGATCCAGAGAATTCGATCGAGGTCGGACGAGGCGAAACGGACGATCCAGCGATTCGTTCTCCGTAGAAAATAAAAAAAGAAGTTCACGAGCTGTGTACACCCGCGACGAATGATAAATGCAGGCCGGATTATGTAATTTCGGCGGCAACGTTCTCGTTCGTAATTCGTCGCACGTGTTGACGCATGCGGCGGCCATGAATCATGCCGAGAAATTCGTCGCGAAGACGCATGGGTAGCGCGCGAGCAACATTAATTGTCGTTCATAAATTTCTCCCCGTACTTTTCCGGTGGCATCGTACTACGCTGCCAGCTGTGGAAGACAGAACTGAACTCTGGCTATAGTGAGACATTGAATAACCGGTTTATCATCGATTGCTTTTCTTGAACGAAAACGTGGATATTGAATGAATTAAAACAAGTTTGTAACTTGGTATTTCATTTGTTTGCGTGTACTATGTAACGAAGAGTCTTTCCTGTTGACGTCGATAGACCATTATTTATTATTATTTATTTATTTAATACTATTTAATATTTATTATTTATTTAATAATATTTAATATTTATTATTTATTTATTTATTGGACGGGCCCTATTATACAATATAAATAGATAAGAAAATAAGAATTGAATATTCAAAATTAGCATAGCGTACGTTTATTTATGTTACAATGCTTTGATAGAAGACTCTACATGCGTTTTATAATATAATAAACAACATAACAATTTATTGCGAAGATTTATCTTGTGCTGGAACTACAAATCGATCAATATTGACGTTAAAAAAATGTTGAATAACACGAGTTTTTTGTTTTCTCTTGTCATTTCAAGTAATAGCAATAGTCATTGTCTAATAGGCTAGTTCT